TCAAATGAAACTCATTAATAGGGATGCAGACTTGGAAGAGATTCAGAAAAATTGTGAAAATGGAATATCTCAAAACAATAATAGAATAGTAGAAACTTAGATAACAACAATTACAAATATACAGGTAAAGCTGATATGAAGTATAGAAATGAGAAGAAATGATAACAACAGAGCCAGTATAGACCACCACTGAAACAACCTATGAACTGACCCCTTGAAAAAGAAGAATTAAGAGAAAATAATGGCTTATGCCAAATTACCAATAGAAAGATCAAAACTGCTAGCACTGAAAATAGTGTCCAAGAAGGTCTTGCCACCTATAATGAAGGATGTAAATAAGGTGTTTGCAAGGATTAAAATAACTTCAAACAGACCAACTAACTTGCCTACAGTACAGCAAGTACTGCATCAAAATTAGAAAAGCAAAAGCAAAATTGCAGTCATTGTTAAATTGGAGTATTGGTCTGGAGGTCAAGATAAAGAAATAAAGATCAGATGCAAGTAATATAATTAACATTGTTTTTTTATTTAGAAAATTTATATAGCTGCCTATCTCAAAAAATTGACTTTGGGTGGCACACAGAGGATAAGAAAACAATAGAATACAATGGAAATTTTAAACCAACATCATCATCATGCATAATATGTGTTCAGACCTTTAAAAAATCTAATATTAATATTAATCTAATATTAATTGGTGCAGACCAAACCACAAATCCACAAAGAGGGCTGGTTTAATCTTCCAACCACAATGCCAGTGGAATCATTCAGAACTTTAATGCTTTATTAAAGGCCATAAAGTTTGGGGCCAAACTCATATAAGGGGAGGGCCTGCTCCTCCATAGAGTAGGCACTATGAGAAGGCACCACTCCTAGGTTCCAGAAGATGACAGTTCTAAGACAGACCACCCAGAATATACCAACTGGAGCAGTTGTAGTGATGTGATCAGAAATGATCATAGATAAGTGGTCCCACAACTATCCCAACCCATGGAGTATAAGACTTTATAGATAACAACTGACATCTTGAATTGCAAGTTTAGGGGGTATCAGTGCAGCTCATGGTGCAGAGGTGTCACATGGGTATATTGTGTAGGGCCTCAAACTGAACCAATTGTAGCTTCCAAATATTTTTTAAGGGAAGTCCTTTTAGAGAGCATTACGGTAATCCAGCCAGGAGATCAATAAGCCTCAAGTTGCCATGAGTAGGACCTTCATGGATACAACTGGTACCCAAGAACTTATTTATTTATATGGTTGCCCATCTCGTATACATGACTCTGGGCAGCTAACAGTTAAAACAGAACACAAATATAGCAAAAAGAATGAACATTAATACTATGAAAGAACACCAAAGAACTTAGAACAGTGCTTTTCAACTGGTGGTACGTGTATCACTGGTGGTACATTGGCACCTGGCAGGTGGTACGCGACCATGCCCAGCCTAACCAAGTGTAGCCGGGGAGGGAACGAGCCAAAGTGGCGCAGCGCAGAACTTGCCGTGAGGGAGTCCTCAGGAGCTGCAGGGCTGCTGGGGTAAGACAAAAGCCCCAGGATCAGCACTTCCAGCTCACCAGGAAGAGAAAAGGAGGAGGGGGAGTGGAGACAGGAAAAGATATAAAAGGAGGCAGTTTTGGTGGGAGAGGGAGAGGAAAAAAAGACTCCAGAGAAAGAGTCAAAAGAGAAAGGGCTTTTGCCTCCTCCTCCTGGCCTATCCTGGTGGTCTCCCATCCTATTGCGAAGGATGCTTTGGTTACAAAGCCGGGTCTCCTCAAATGGAAAGGGAGTGGGCTTCCCTCTGACCCACGCACTTTGCCCTCCTGCACCCACCATGAGCAACCTGGCCAAGGAGAGTGAGCACAGCAGCAGCCTCGAGGAGGAGGTAAGCACAGCCAGGCAACCCCTCATGGAAGTGGGGCTGGACTGGGTTGAGCTGCAGGGTCCTGGCGCCCCGGGCTGGGCACTTGCCCTCCGCTGCCCAGGGCTCTGGGCAGCCCGCACCACCATCGGGGAGTCCCCCCCATGGTCCAAGAGGGTCGGTGAGGTTCCTCCAGTGGACCATGCCCTGGCACCCACCCCAGTCCCACCCCCCTCCACCAGAGACCTCCGGATCCCCTGCAGAGGCGCCCCTGACCTGAGCGATGTTGAGCTGGCCACCCCCCCTCCAACAGTAACCACAATGCTGATGCAGCCCTCAATGAAATCAAGTTTGACACCTGTGATATAAAAGGAGAAAGGGAGAGAGGAGAGGATATAAAGGATGAGGGGGGAGAGGAGAGGGTATAAAAGGAGAAGGGGTGAGAAATTTGTTAAATGAGTTTTGCCCCATTTTACAACTTTTCTTGCCACATTTGTTAAGTGAATCACTGCAGTTGTTAAATTAGTAACATGGTTGTTAAGTGAATCTGGTTTCCCCATTGACTTTGTTTGTCAGAAGGTTGCAAAAGGGGATCAGTTGACCCCGGGACACTGTGACCATCATAAATATGAATCAGATGTCAAGCATCCAAATGTAAATCACATGACCCTGGGGATGCTGCAATGATGATAAGTGTGAAAAATGATCATAAGTCACTTTTTCCAGTGCCATTGTAACTTCGAACAGTCACTAAGCGAACTGTTGTAAGTCGAGGACTACCTGTACTTTATCACTTTTTCCCTTTTTTTTGATCATCAAGTTTTTGACACCTTGCTAGGCGACTGATGGTACTCGAATATTGCCATATCCTAAAAGTGGTACAATCGGTGAAAAGGTTGAAAAGCCCTGACTTAGAACACTCATTTAACACAATCACAGCTAAGAAATGGGCTTATCCATAGTATCAGGACTCTAGGCCTGATGTCAAAACTAGGTTTTCAATGCCTTGTGACAGGCTAGAGGGATCAGGGCAAATCTAATCTCTGGGGGAATGATAATACAAAGGGCAGGTGCCACAACAGAAAAGGCTCTCTTCCTGTGCCCTGCCAGATGGAGCTTTTTCACAGACAGGACCTGGAACAGGGCTCTTCTCCTGGATCGAACAGAATTGGTAGACAACAATGCAGGGAGGTGGTCCGAGCCCACAAAGGGCTATTAATTGTATCTGGAAGTATACCAGTGGTCAATGCAACTTGCAGAACAGAAGTGTCACATGTGCCAAACAACTGGACAGCCATTTGTCTGAAATGGTATAGGGTTGGACTAGATGACCTCCAAGGTCCCTTCCAACTTTATTATTATAATATTATTATTATTGTTATTATTGTTGTTGTTGTTATATCATATTGTTTTTTTATTATTGTTATTATATCATCTCCCATAAGCACCCATGCCATGAATAAGAAGCCAGCTTCCCCCCCAGACATTGGGATAGGGTGAGGCTGGAGCCCCAGTGATTGTTTTTTTAAAAAATATATTGGGGAGTGTCAGTTTAGGGTACTGGGAGTTGGAGTGTGTGTCCCATGTTGGCTTCATTGTTGTTGTTTTTAAAAAAATGTTATCTCTGTTGCTTTGAGCCACCCAGTTATGGCAGATAAAGTGGGTGGCTATAAAATAGTTAATTAGATGCTGGTTGTAAGCATTCAAAGCTACAAAACTGCTGCACGTTTATTTGTTGTGAGCCCTGCCACCTTTACCACAGCCTGTTTTGGTAGTCCATCAGAAGGAGGGTTTTCCAAGAACAGGCTCCAGGATGTATGAAAAGCCGGTTCCGAAACCTGGGCAAATAAAGGTAGATACATTTGCTTTTCTTTTTTTTTCTTTTTTTTTTGCTACTCCACTGTGCGAAAAACGTCTTTTAGAAAATGGTCTTGGCTGCAGCGAAAGAAAAGAAAATAGGGGCGAGCCTCATAATCCTTCGCAGGAGAGCATTTCTGCTTTCTTACGGGAGATTGCTCCGTGATTTTCCCTTGGTCGCTTGGAACCAGGTGTGACGCGCGCCTTTCAACGGAGCCTCGTTTGAAGCTTCCCGAAGGCTGCGGGCCCTTTAAATGTTCGCGCCCGGCCCGTGCTGCCTTTGGCTGGGAGACCCCGTACAGCCAGTGAGAGGTGAAACCAAGATGGCGGCCGCACAGTGACTGAGGCTGGAGACGGAAGGACACAGGCGGCCACCGCTCCAGCCATCCTCCCCGAATGCGCGGAGGGGATTCGCTTCTTTGCCGGGTGCACGGAAGGAGCCAGGCCGCGTGAAAGGGACGAGGGAGGTTGGTGGGAGTGCCAGCAGCATCCGGAAGAGCGGGCGCAGGAAGAACATGGCGGCGGCGGCGGCGGCGGCATCGCGTTGAGAGTGCAGTCATCGCTGCTCGTGAGGGGAGATCCTGACAGAGACGGGCACCCGCGCCGCGTGCCGTTCCGCCTCTTCCCGCCTCCATCCCAGCAAGCCCGGCGTCCTCCGCCGCCCGTTTAGGTCGTGGCCTTTCCCTGGGAAAGAAGAAGGGGCGGTTCCGTCTGGGTCCCTTAGCCTGGCTAACGGGAGCGCGAGGAAAGGGGCTTCGGGCCTAGCAGCGCCTTTGCACAATAGGCCTGGCCGAGGGGGGAATTGACCCTCTTTCCCCGGGCTTCCCCCCTTCCCCTCCGCTGCCCTCTTCAGCCCTTCTGCTCATGATGCCCCAGCAGGGTCCTCGGATTTGCCTCCCCGAGCCCCTGGCGCCTTTGCCTCTCCTTTCGAGGGCTTTTCGCACGGGCAGCTAAACCTTCCCGCTTTTCCTGTCACTCGTCTGTTTTCCACTTGCTGCTTCTCGGTTCACCTCACCTGGCCCCCCTGACTAACGTTACTCGTCTGCGCTGGGTGAATTCTTTTTTCTTTGTTTTTGCTTTGAATCACCTATGTGACCTTAGGGTTTCTCTCGTAACCGTTTACATTTGCGTCGGCGTCTTTTTAGTTTCTCCTGGTGTTTCTCTTTGAAATCTTTGGAGGTTTTTATTTCCTGTTTCCCCCTGTTCTACAAAAGCTACCGTTTTACAGAAAAAGTTCTGTGCTCCCTGCGGTAGCGTTGCCTCCTCACCTTTTGGGGGTGTGTGATGAGGCAGTTATTTTAACCGTCCCAGTAAAAAAGATCCGTTTGGGGTATTGTGTGGGACTCTCGCTCCCTTTTCTGCTCCCCTTCTTTGAGGGGGGCCAAGCCCCCCCTCGCAGCTCTTCTTGATAGACTTTATCGCAGACCCTTGTGGTTTGGAAAAGGCAGAATGACCGATACTCGGAGGAGAGTGAAGGTTTATACACTAAATGAAGACAGACAATGGGATGATCGGGGCACTGGACATGTGTCCTCTGGCTATGTGGAAAGGCTGAAGGGCATGTCCCTGCTTGTCAGGGCAGAAAGTGATGGTAAGTATAGCTGAACAAGTATACATCAAATATATTAATCCTTGTGTTAATGAACTGTGACATGTGCTAATAATTAGATGTGGGGCAATGAATTTCTGTGCTGCATAAGTTGAGAGGGTGAGAATCAGGTAAGCATTACTTTCTATATCAGTGGTTCTCAACCTTTTTAATGCCGCGACCCCCAACCGGTCGTAAGTCGAGGACTAAACCGGTTGTAAGTCGAGGACTACCCAACCGGTCGTAAGTCGAGGACTTTCCCTGCCCAGGAGCGCCGCGCATGCGTGTTTCTGCCCCCTGTGCCGGCCGAGGCGTAGCTGGCAAGCAGCAGAGACGGAGCAGGCCGACCACCAGCTGGCCCAGCCCAAGGAAGGTAAGGCACCCGCCGGAAAAGGGAAAAAAAATGGCGGACAGCCTTGCTTGGCGACCCCCGTGAAATGGTCGATCGACCCCAAATGGGGTCGCGACCCATAGGTTGAGAACCGCTGTTCTATATGATAGCTTTCACAAAAGAAAATTTCCATCTGTGTTTATGTAAGTTGCCTAACTGTCATCAAAGTATGTGGCTTTAAATTTTTCTAGGTGGCAGACTATGGATAGTGTTAATTATTTAAAGTATCAATTAAACTTTCTCCTAGACATTTAGGACTTTTCCTATTATATTTAAATAACCTAATAGCTTAAGCTTATAGTATTCTTGTTTAACTCAGGTGTAGACCATTAAAATACTATATGGCCAAATATTTAACAAGATGTCCAAATTTTTATATTACCTTAGAAACTTTGTAGACTATCTAAAATACTTTATCATGTCTTCCATTTTCTGTAGAAAAATTTAATTTGCTTTTTAATTAAAACAAACCCTATCCTTTATCATCCCTTCTTAGAATAAGTGGAATCCATAATTTAAGCATGTTAATTGATTGTTAAACACAGTTTCCAAAGTTGCCAGTTTTGAAGCATGTCTCTATTCTCATATAAAATCTTTGTTTGAAGCAGAAGTGAAATTGGTGACTTGTTTTAATTATACCAATGAAATTTCAAATCCCATCTTGTCTCAATGTACTAGTATTCCTAGCTATTTGGCCATGTTATTCTTCTGTTTTTAATCATATAGGTGAAACAGCTGTTTCACATAACAAGTTTGAAGGTTTTTATTCTGAAAGCAAGCATGAATGGAAGCTAATAGGGGAAAAATAAAACTGGAATCAATTTGCCACCAGTTTCAGTATGTCATTACTTTAAAGAAAGTCGTATTCACTTCAGTGAGATTTGTTTTTAATATGTGCATAAAAATATTCCAATCTGATCCTAATTAAGGAATGTATTTGCTTTAAGTTAGAACACAGTGATGTCATAATTTTAACCAAATATTCAGATGGACTCAGAATATAAAATAATTTTAGAAGGTTGCAACAGATTATTAGAAATGTGTGCCTTATGTTTATTATACTAAAAATGTGAACTGTATTAGTATAATAATGTATTTCTGTGACGTTCCTGACATTGCCCACCAAACAGAATATAGACCATCTGACATCTTGGATGGCAAGATGCATTTGATCTTCCCCTAACCAACCCTCAGTTATATGGTCCCTTCCATCATAACAAGATTATTAGGAAATCTATTATACTTTGAATAGTATACGTCCTTGGGAAATGGGTTTAGTCGTTGAGGAACAAATTGAACTGTAGACATTACAGTTTTAAGACAGGCCTATGGCAAATTTACGTGTATTAAGTAAAGAAAGCTTTACTTAAGCTTTCTTCTCTGGCAGGGAGTTGGACTAGAAGACTCCAAGATCCCTATGATTCTATGATAGCCTTCTTTTTATTATGAATATTTGCACACATTTTCATGATTTCTATGGGCATTCATACATTGACTTTAGGCAGTCATTCTAATCATTACCATTGAGGAGCATACATTATTGTTATTGTAAAACTCTGTGCGTGTGTGTGTGGGGTCTCTAAGGTTGGTTGTTTTCTTGCAGACATTTCATTACTTAACTAGGTAATGTGCTAGAATGGAGTGGTGTTTGCTCTTTTTTTAAATTCTAGTGGCTTGCCCTGCCAATGTTGATGGGATTGTTCTTGGTGGTTCCTTGTTTACTGTTAGGTTGTTTGTCTGAGTTGTTAATTTCTTGATTGGAGTATTGTTTGCTTCTTAATTGTTGGTCTAAAATTAATCTTGGTGTCACCTCTACTCATCTGGGTGTTGATTTGCTGGTGAGACAATGTTTTTGGCTTTTGTTTCCTTTTTGCCTTTTTGATTGTCTTTTTTGAATGGTATGTAGATGTTGTTTATCTACATGCCATTCAAAATAATTTGTGATAATTGTTAGGCAAACCAGTGCAGTGCAAAATGACATTATTAAAGTAGAGGCTTGTTGTCAAAGTGCATTTTCTTATAGCTCACCTGTTCTTCTGGTGACAAGTTGTAAAACATTAAAACCAATATAGCACTTTAACTCATCATAATAAGAACTTTCACTCTAGTTTTATTCCGGGCTTATTTGGAGCAGATTTTTTTAGGAATGTATACTTTTCTAATTTTGAAATATTTTTGAAATATATAGTGTAAATGTTTTTAGTATTTTATGAAAATGTTTTATTTCCCATGTCAGTTTCAGTGAACTTTTATCTTTGTGCCCTAAGGTAACCATTATAAATAAACACACCATCATTAGTGAGGGTGTTAATAATTTAACCATGAACTTTATGACATTTTAGCAATACAAAATTTCCTTCTAGCTGAGCTTTGAGGAAATAACTTTAAAAGCAACTTTATTCTGTGATTGAAGTCAGTGATGTTTCTATTTTTTTAAGAATGTTCAGTTATTTTCAAAATGCTTCATAGAATTGTATTATAAAAAAGATACGAACATAGTCCTGACAGTGTCATTTACACTGGGAATCAGTTTCAGGAACAAGATTGTTGTTTCTGTTTGACATAAATACCTTTTCACTTTGCCACCATCCTAATTTTTCAACTGTTATTCAGCCTTACCAATATGATTTAACTGTTTTTATATATTTTTCAGATTTTGTAGATCACCCAGAGTCCATTGAAATTGGGCAGTTTATAAATTAAAGCAAATATAACCTGGTGCTTGGAGATGTTGTAAATTACAGTTCCCAGATTTCATGATTGTATATCTGGGTGATACTAGATTGGGGAAAAAAACTTTTGATCCACTGATTTGATAAATTATAAAACTATTGCTAATGGTAGGAGAAAATATTCTATATTGCATACAGAATGTTGCTTCATTCTGACAGACAGTGAGTTCAAATCAGTAGTTTCACTGGTCTGGGAAACAATCTTTAGGAATTATTTCCAAACCAGGAAAGTTCATATTGCCACCTAATATTTTTAAATAGTGTAACTGGGCTAGTAAAAGTGGCTTAAAAAGCGCAGTTTTATATATGGGGCTGTTTTTAGGAAATTTGTAATTGTTTTTCTTAACTTATCTTCATATTGTTGATTGCCTATATTTCGGATTGTACAGAATAATAACACTTTCTGTTTATCCCTTCCAAAAGCTTAGAAAAGGTGTGATTTGTTGATTCTTCCATCTGGATTTTTTCGCGTACAGTAGTTTTTATCAATTGAATATTTATTAGAGAGAAAACATGTCCAGAATGAACTTGAAAAAGTCTGTTTATCCAGTTTAACTCTTGCTTTAATTTTAAATATTGCACAATTTAATCATTGTTAGTTCCTAGAACTCTCTACAGGATAAATACTCAATAAATTACTCTTTAAATAGGCACGTGTTATGAGCTAATAAGATAAGGGGTTTTTTTTGTTTTAAAGCATCCTTGTGGAATGGTATACACATTTAAAATATATGCTGCACAAATGGAGATGGAACCAATCAAGTAGTCGATTTGATTGTGTTGCTGCTGCCTCAGGGGTGGGATGAGGTTTTCATGAGTTTTTATGTGGTAGATTTTTAAATGTTCTAATCCTTCAAGAGTTTCCTATGTGCAAATTGGGCAGCAATATGAATGCTTAATAAATAATAAACTTGTTTTAATAAATATTACAATTTTCCCCTGCTCTTTAGGTTCTCTACTTTTGGAGTCCAAAATCAACCCTAATACTGCATATCAGAAGCAACAGGTAATAGTTAGTTTTATTTCCTTGTAATTAATTAAAAATTAAAGATATTTGGTATTGCTTCTTTAGGAACTGTAATGATAATAAAGATGGAGAATTTATATACTTCTTGATAAAACAAAATTACAACATTTTATTAAAGTTAAAATAGAATATCAAACAAAAGTTATTATGAAAATCCTAAAAATTAATTTCAAATTCATAGATTTCAAGTTGATTGACAAAAATGTTCTTATCTGTGCTGTGAACCTCTAGCATGATATTGAAAATACATTTTCTTACATTTGATTAGCAACAGTAAATTCAGTTGCTCGTTAATGGTTTGGTAATTGCAGAAATATTTGTGCTATGAAAATGTTTAAAACTCTTCCCTCAGTCACTGGAATATAGGACTTTAAGATGCAATGTGATTTGTTAGTGTTACCAGACACTTATAGAGAGAATTCAGTCAATTCCCCCCTCCCACTTCACATCAGAGGAATGTGAGGGTTGTTATATTTAGTGATAATTCTCATTCTGTGCACCTCTCTTTGTGCCCTAAAAATCTCCTTAATGAGGTATTATGATAAAAAGGCAGCAGTTCTGACTCCATGTATTTCCCTTCTGTTTCTCTTTTTCATTCTGTGCAAGCAGACATAATTTATAATATTCCATTGTAGTTTAAGCAGACTGCAGTGCTTTTCTGCATCTAAGATTAATCTGATTGTAGCTTGATCAAAATATTTTCTTGTATTGATATATAAAAAGTAGAGTAGCAGATGTGATTGAAAACATACAACTTTCCTTGCACATGAAGAAGATACATCCCTATTACCTAAATTATGGTGTGCTCAATTTAGCCTCTATGATTACTTTGTTACTGAAATATATCTTAAAAAGGCTTTGGAGTAATGAAATTGTCTATGTAATTAAATTGGAGTGCAGAGAAATATGCCATTATATACCCAGTCTTTCTGTGAGATTAGCAGAGAAATGTTTAATCTACACTTAGGGATTTGGGAAGAAACTTGTAAATTTGTCATCCACGTTTCAGTAAAATTCAGGACAAAATGCATGCTACAGCTATGGTTTGAAATTAGTTTTTGTCATCTTTAAAGTAGCTTGTTCGGTATTTTTATGAGTCTGGAATCTCATAAATTTTATTGAAACAGTTTTATACCACCTTAAATACCTACAAATTATATACCTTTTAATTAAGTTTACCAAGTTTTTGGTGATTGTACTACATCAATCTGTTAAAATTATAATTGCATACCTAAATAAAAAAGATGAATAAGCTTTATCAAAAATGTGTAACAAATGTTACAGTCATTTGATATTCTAAAAATAAAGTATGGGTCGAAATTGATAAATGGTGAATGAACAGAACGTAACAACTAAAAGTCAAAAATATTTTTTACTATTCTGGCCATGTGGGTGACAAATTAATAAAATAGGAGGAATTATACTGCAATTTGAATGCAATATATATCCAAATCAAATCAAAATAAATAAGGAATGTCTTGTTACATTAAGAATGGATAAATTAGGGTGATGATATTTAAGAACATGTCCATAATATGAAAAAAAAATACTATGAGGACATGGTCTTTGTTCAGAATGGATGTGCAGAGTCAGTTAAAGCATATTTTGATATAAAATTAATAAGCTGCCAACAATATGATAGTGATATAAAATCAGTTTTAAATAAATGAGCCAAGCAATTGTATTTCACACGCTACAGGTGCATTTTATGAATATTGTCATTGTGTTACACACTATTGTTAGGAAAGTAATTATTATAGTAACTCTTAGATAATCTTTTATGTCCTTAAACATATTTGAAGTGCAATCCTGATAAATACACACTGAGGTAAGAAGAGGCTTGTTCTGAATTTGCGTCTCTTCTGAAGCAGCTTGTTGACCTTCTTACTGAAATGCATAAGTTGGTTAGGGTTATCATGTGAGCCTAGAAAAAGACACCTTTTCTGCTTTGGACTAGAAATGACTACAGCTCTGTATGTACATATGCATATAAATTTATTAATTTTGAAGGACACGCTGATTGTGTGGTCTGAAGCGGAGAACTATGACCTGGCTCTTAGCTTTCAAGAAAAGGCTGGTTGTGATGAAATATGGGAAAAAATATGTCAGGTAAGATGTGTACCTTGAATGTTTATCTGCCATACTTAATGCAATTAACAATACTAAATTATCTCCATTTCTCCCAGAAGTTTCACCTGTTGAAATTCATACACTATGTTTTCAGAATTGTAGTTGGAAATAATCTAAAGGAGCTGTAAGTCAGTGTTTCTCAACCTTGACAATTTTAAGGCATGTGGACTTCAACTCCTAGAATTCCACAGCCAGCAATGCTGGCTGTGGAATTCTGGGAGTTGAAGTCCACATGCCTTAAAATTGTCAAGGTTGAGAAACACTGCTGTAAGTAGACTAAAGTTGTCTACTGTAAGTAGATTAAATAATACAGCTGTGTAATGCTTTTGATTTGAATGCAGAAAGATGCACCCTCCTCACCTTTTGTAGAACTCCAAGGCCTGCTAGAGCACTGGAATTGATTGCTTCTTTGCACAGCTGCATGGCGCGATTCTGGAAGTGGCCTGGCCACAAAATGGCCATGTTAGTGTTGCTGCCCTGTGGCCTGGGGACAAATTGCTTTGCTCTGCTGTTTTAACAAGGTCTGCATAGCACTGAAAAAGCTTTCTGCAGCATTCAGGAGCTTCCTCAGTGCTGGGCAGACCTTGTTAAAACAGCAAAACAAAGCAGTTTGTCTGGTGGCTGCTTTCAAGTCACTGCTGTGTGGTCTTGGGACATGTGTCCTACATTCTTTCCCCAAAACGAGGTGCAGAGAGCTACAGAAAGTAAGTACAATGAGTGATGGGCATCTCGGGAGTAGACCCAAGTGCTGTGGGGTCCTGGTTGGGTGGGATGGGGGTGAAAGAGGTGGGGAATGCCACAGCTTCCCTGCGGTCAGTCATAAGGGTAAATAATATTGGAGTGTCTGTCATAACTTTGAATATTCCTTATGTCTGGGGTCCCCAACTCCCAAGCCACAGTCCACTAGTGGACTGCATCCTGTTTGGAACTGGGCCATACAAGTGAGGGGTGAGCGCTCGTGTGCATGCGCTCATGCACACAGCTTCATTTGCACGAGTGGCAGGTATGCATGTTCACACGCGTAGCTCCATTTGTGCAAATGGCAAGTGGCTCACAGCAAGTGGAGCTATGAACGCTTGCATGCGTGCCTACTACTCTCAAGGGGCCATCTCCTCTCCTCCTGCCCCGTCGGGCTGCCAAGCCAAAAAGCTTGCGGACCATGACTTTAAGTAATACAAAAATAATAATAATAAAGTTGGCTTGTGGACTACCTGTATAGATCAGAAAACTGAAAAACATCAATTTATAATATAAGGCTCTGCCACCATCTGGAAATATTGTAAGTCAAAATATAAAAATACAAGCCTACATAATATTCTGATGCTGTTAAGAAAGGTTGTTAGTGTTACATATTATTAGTGGCTACATCAAAAAAGTTATTTTTAGCATTTTGTTATCTTTAATTTTTAATGTATATATTCATTGGAAATACTAGCTACAATAACATAGCCTTTTATGTAATTGAACTTCTTGATTCAGGACTACGGTGCTTGGTAGTGTATTTCATTTTTAATGTGCTTTATTTTGCATTTATTGATGCAGATGTATAATTCTCAATTCTATTAAACATAACATAGTAATATATCTTGTAGAAATGTAGCAACTGAAATGGTACACTTTTTACTTTTCTTTAACCTTAACAGGTCCAGGGAAAAGACCCTTCAGTGGACATTACTCAGGATCTTGTGGATGAATCTGAAGAGGAACGTTTTGATGATATGTCATCTCCAGGTCTAGAGTTACCATCCTGTGAATTAAATCGATTAGAAGAGATTGCAGAACTTGTGGCATCTTCACTGCCTTCCCCATTGCGGCGTGAAAAACTTGCTTTAGCACTTGAAAATGAGGGCTACATAAAAAAACTCTTAGAAATTTTTCATGTGTGTGAGGACTTGGAAAATACTGAAGGACTACACCATTTGTATGAAATTATTAAGGGAATCTTCCTCTTGAATAGAACTGCACTTTTTGAAGTCATGTTTTCTGAAGAATGTATAATGGATGTAATTGGATGTCTAGAATATGATCCTTCTTTATCACAGTCACGGAAACACAGGGAATTTCTGACAAAAACTGCAAAATTTAAAGAAGTTATTCCAATATCTGACCCGGAGCTGAAACAAAAAATACATCAGACATACAGAGTACAGTATATTCAAGATATGGTTCTACCTACTCCTTCAGTATTTGAGGAAAACATGTTGTCTACTCTTCATTCATTCATATTTTTTAATAAAGTAGAAATAGTTGGTATGTTACAGGTAAGTTTGGATATTTTTTTAAATTGAGTTTTTTTTTCATTTATAGGTGGTCCTTGCACCAGCCTTACTGTTAAAAGTAATATTGCATTTAATGCTGACAACACATCCTTCACAACAAAGTAGCATAAGTATTATGAATAAGGTGAAGGAAATAATTTTGAATTTGAACCATTTCTAAATATTTTGTTTTGAATGTGAATTCACTCTTTAACAGGCCAGTTTTAACATCTTGATAATCTCGGAAGAGTTTTATCTTTGAAACTCTTAGCTTTTAATTTGAAATACCTCCCAAATGATAAATGATTCTGTACCAGCACCAGGTATTGGAATTCAGAACAGTTTGAATTTGAAATGTTTTTGTCTTTCCATAAAACATCAGAGGTTGTTGACAATTGCGAGGCTTAAAATGCTAAATAGAAATGTTTCCTTAGAACAAATAGAGAATTTTTAATATATAACTTTGGGCCTTTCTTAATAAAAATGCAGAAGCTGTCTATAAAGTAAAGCAAAGATTTTTTACACTTGCCATAGCAAAAGGAATCCCAGTGAAAGCATCTTCTATGCATGAGCATGCTTGTTCAATTAATGCAGTGGTTGCACTCATTTTTTTCCCAAGGATATGGTTTCTTGAACAGCTGGTATAGAAATGTGCTTTGAGAACACGTCTTCCATTTGTATTAGTCATTAGTAGAATCTTCCAAATGAATATGCTTTTTGAAAAATTTGCATGGGTTTTGTTCTCTTTAAAGAAAGATTTTTGTGCAAATACTACTGATTTCAACATGCTCTTTCTAAATAAGTTTTGGGGAGGGGAGGGTGCATTTTAAGCTTTACGGATGGTCTAGGACAACTCATTATGGCCAACTCACCACAGCCAACTTGCCGCGGGACAACTCAATGCTGAATTGTTTCATTTAGTTACTTTTATTATTGGTGATCACATTTTCATCAAAATTATTGTACGTCTTGTATTTCTAGATTGATTTAATTTTATTATTATTGACCATGGTTCTGTTGAAATTAATTTAACTTTTATATTTGTTGAATTGTCTTGTGGCGAGTTGTCCCTGGCAAGTTGGCCATGGTGAATTGTCCCATTCTGTTCAGAGGTTTTTGAAAGTTGCTAACCAAGAATGGAAATGATAAAGAATCAATAGATTCATATAGCTAAAAGGGACCATGTATGTTTTATAGTCTAATACTCTGCTTAGTGCAGGATCCATTAAATTACCATTGGACATGACCAACCAGCCTCTGAAGAACAATTGACAATTTCATGTGGCAGTCTCTTCCGCTGTCAGACAGTTCATAAAAGAAATTCCATGTGATGTTTAGACTGAAATCTTTCCTTGTAGTTTTAATCCATTGGTTCTGATCCTTTCCTCTGAGTTGGGCAATAGAGAATAAGCCCATTCATGATAATGTCTTAGTTCTACTTGATCTGTAGATAGCATGTGATCAGTCTGACCATAGGATCTCCTTAGAGCACTTTTTTACCTAGACTTTAATCACATTGCTAGCGTTTCTCCCTAGATATTTTGTTGCAAAAGCTAAATTGGGAGATTTCTTATTCCTTATTCATCCAATGACAGTTTGAGATTATAAGTCTGTTAACATTATAGCTCTGCTCTTCTTTTACACCCAATAATATCATTATGGGCCTTTTGGATTTATTTGTTGTTGTCTAAGAGGCAATGGTAACCAGGAGTGCTTTTTATTGCTTCTTTGCTACATTCCAGTCAAGGACTATCTTGAGTGATAGGATCTGAGCTATTTCCAAATGCGCTGTGCTTTATCAAGAGCAGCCTCTGAATATGTCTGGAGCTTTCAGTTGATAGAAAATAGAACTTCCCAAATGCTGATGTGGCCCAGAAAATGTGAATTAGTTCTAATTAAAATTGCCAAGTTTGTTTTCATAACAATATGTCTGGAACCATGTTCTGTAATAACCTAGCATTCAAAGGAGGTGTTGACTAACAGCATTACAACTGATTAAGGGTAACAATCACTGCCAGTAGCAATACTATATATATTTCATATCAGAATATTTCTTCCTTCAAAAAAATCATTTCTACTATGCATTACCACTACTTGTTAAAATACTGTATTACTGTAAGTCCAACTTACATCATTTGCTTGGCTATTTCATTTAGTTAAAGAATAAAGCTATTCTTTATTTAGTTAAAGAATAAAGCCATAAAACTTTAATGGTATGGTACAGATTACCAAATTATTGGCTTTACCTGTACAATTCTGCACAAATGTAACTTTGCTGTTTACCTTAGCATTTGCTGCTGATATTTGTGAAGTAGGCATGAATTAAGAACAGGCCTTCTTGTCAGTGGCCAAGAGGTTTTAAATTGCCTTCTAATAAACCCAGCACTCTTAATTCTTCATTCTCCTTCAGAATGTATTAGTTGCTATACCATGTTAGCAGAATAGCTTATTAAATGAGTTATCTGTAGATATGAACTTTTTAAACAAATTTTACATATCTCACTGTGTATCACTTTGGGAAGCACGGTTCTTAAAAGGAGCTTTAAGAAAATATTGTAAATATTAGCCTTGTTTGTTAAAATTAGTGATGAATATTATTTTTCAGTTATCAGAATATCTAGTGTGACCGAGTTAATGTGGTGGCACTAGAGCTATAATATCAAATGAGAGTGTTGAAGCTTTGATAAAAATTATTCCGAAAAAAATATTTTTGTATATTTACTTAAAAATACAAATTATGTAAGCAGCACATAAAATAGTACTGCATGGTGTTTTTATGAGACAAGATTTTTCCTTAAGGATCCAGTCATGTCCAGTTTCCACATTATGTGGAGTCATTCTTCATGTTCATTGTTACCTTGACAATCCCTAGCAAAATGCTTGGAGAATGTAACAGAAACCGCTGGAGGGGGAATAACATAGAAATTGTTTTGGATTCCAATACACATTGTGTTACCAAAATACCTGACATTGTGAGTGTATGCCTAGGTATGTATTTACAAACTATATTTAGATACAGACAGTTTTGAAGCAATAAATGGTATTAAGACAAATTTATTAAATTATATATTTATTAGAGTAACAAGATAATTTTAAAGCAAAATGTTTGGACTTCCCTTATTGGTTGCTCTAATATGAATAAAAAGGAGCAGTAATGAGTAAAAAAGAATGTTGATTTCTTTGGCCCTAACTAATCATCCAAGGCTTTTTTCCTGCTTAAAATGAAAGAGCAGGCCACTGTCAGGTAGCAGAACACTGTATCACAGTGTTTCTCAACCTTGACAATTTTAAGGCATGTGGACTTCAACTCCCAGTGCTGGCTGTGGAATTCTGGGAGTTGAAGTCCACATGCCTTAAAATTGTCAAGGTTGAGAAACACTGCTGTATCAGGCTTTGATCATCTACTTGGCTTACGGATAGTTTCAGGACCACCCTTTTCAAATGGAATTGACCTGAAATACAGTTTTCAGAGCTACTGAGAATCCCTTGTTTTGGGGAGATGAGAGAAGTAAAAACCCAGAAATAGTCCCCAGATATCAACCTTAATGGTTTTGTGAATGCTTGTTAAGATAAGTTGTATGAAAGAACCAATAGAAGAGAATATAGGGTTGAACTGTTGAACTGATTTCTTGGTGCTCTCTGAGCATGGTTGTTTGCTTGCAGGCATTTCATTACTTGACTAGGTGACATCATCAATTCTAGGGATGTGAAATCAGAAAACCTGATAACGGGTTCAGAGGACGTGGGCTCTCTTGGTTTAGGTTACTTATTAGAGATATCATGTTATTTTATTCAATGTTCATATTTATATTTATATTGTTAATCACTAAGAAATCTTTGTGATTACAGCATTATAAAGTTCGATAAATCAGAAGTGTCTACTGTGAGGCTTTATGTGGCGATAATATGAATTTGACTTGCACCATATGGTGAAAAATTTCCATTCCTTTCATAGCATTTTATTAAAATACAGTAGATTTTGGTTTATTATTTGAAGGTATTTGCTGTTTTGTTTTTTAAAGTAGTTTTATAAAAGGTCAATGGTCTTAAATCATTTAACAGAAGTCATATAATTTATTTAAAAAATGATTTGAAAAGAGTATTGGTTAAGGGAGGTTAAGTATCTTCAAATATAATACTAAATTTCCTTTGATTCTTAAAAACTGGTTTATTTACCTTTGTTACTATCTTGGATAAAATTAGAGGTTATTAGTGGATTAGAAGTAGAAAAAGTTAACATGCTACAAATATTTCTAGACAGTTAGAATAAAGGCTTGAACAAGTAATAGGACTGTAATGTATAGGAATAAATGTGGAATGATAATATAATACAATAGAGAACACAATGAACATTTTAAAAAGTAAGGCAACATAGTGAATAGATATGTTGGTACCTGCCAGATTGGAATTATTCTGACTAAAGCTCAGTTTTAATTATTTAAACTGCTATTGAGATAATAAATACATTCTTTTTATTTGACACCCTCTTAGTATATATTAATTTCTACTCAAAGACAAGGAATGTGTTTATTTTCTAAGTATGACTTTTATTATGAAGCATTTTTATTTTGTTTTTTCTGATTAATGTTAATACTGTAAAATAATTGGATGATGATATTTAATACTAAAGCAGAAGCAAAGCTGAGAAATCATTAGGTAGTAAACCAGTTTCATTTCCATTTTAATTAAGTATGATTAAAGGATATATTTTTCATAAGTTTAGAGAAGAATCATCAATACTAAGCCACTTTTACATTGTATTAAAAAGCTTGTTTATATTGTTTGTGGAATAAAAACCTAATCAAAGTAATGGTTTAATAAAATTAATTTCAATTAATGAAATGTATTTCTGATTTGTTTTTTGTAGATGTAATTTTTTTTAAAAAGGAAAATTTCACCTGAGTTGTTTATCTTTTTCTTTATGTTTGCATTGTTTATAATCTAAAAAAGAAATATTAATTTCCCAGTTTTATCAATGCCTATTGTACAGGTAGTCCTCAACTTACAGCAGTTCATTTAGTGACTGTTCAAAGTTACAACACACTGAAAAAACTGATGACTGTTTTTCACACTTATGACCATTGCAGCACCCCATGGACATGTGATCAAAATTCAGATGCTTGGCAACTGACCTATATTTACGACGGTTGCTGTGTCCTAGAGTCATGTGATCACCTTTTGCAACCTTCTGACAAGCAAAGTCAATGGGGAAGCCAGCTTCACTTAACAACCATGTAATTAACCGCAGTGATTTACATGACAACTGGCAAGAAAGGTCGTAAAATGGGGCAAAACTCAATAACTGTCTCGCTTAGCAACTGAAATTTTGGGCTCAATTGTTGTAAGTTGAGAACTATCTATATTTTTCAGGATTATTATGGTAGGCATTCCTTTTTATAATCAATAGTGGACATTCAGGATAATTTTTCTTGAACCTGTATGAATATATTGTTTCTGTTTCATTATCTAATCTGTGCTCCACATCCTGTATTCCTTGTACTTCTGTCATTGTGTTTTAGAGAGAAGGATGAGGGCTTCATTGGGGATGTGTCATTAACATCAACTGTAGAATAGAACATCTGCCCTGTATCCACCATCTCCAGATACTGGTCATGTGTAGAATATATTTTGGTTTACTCTTTGTGATATCTCTGAGATAGATCCCTTCTTAATAATATAGCAAAGAAAGTATTATAATATTTTGAAGAAATATATTTACATTTTAAATATCAATTTTAGTTATTTAAAATCCTCATTTTTATTTACCTGGCTTATGATACAATGGTATCAAAAAGCTAAAAATACTTTCTACAGTATTAATAGGAATTTCATGCCTTTAGACGCAATAACATGTATTTGGAATAAGATAAATAAGGAATGATGTATGTATGTTTCAAGGAACTATTAAAAATAAACCACCTGCAAAGAATAAAAGATCACATTCTGAAATATGACGAAACAGAAGTGAAGACTATTGTCTTCCTTCCTTATAGCAATAAACCTGATTCATATAAAAAAGTTCTAATTCTATTTGTTTGGGCTTGACTTTTGATGGTCCATGTTACATTCTGAAATATTAATAGTTTTAGTTTAATATTCAAAAAAGTTTATTGCTACTTTTTAAATCTGGTCCATTTTTAGTTTTAGGAATGGGAGATAGTGCTTAAAATAGGTCTAACTATTCAAATTGCATTTTGTTTGTTAAAAATGAATATTTAAGACATCCAATAAACACGGAAAAATAACAGAAATAAACTTAGAGCAATTGGTTAGCATGACATAATTTTTATTCATGTCTCTGTAAAAACCATGGTGATATTATATAAAGTCTTATGTCTTCAAATACAATTGATCCTGCTCATTTCTTAAACATTCTCGATGATTGAATGATAGGTCTTAGGACTGCTTCAATTCCTTAGATTTTGATGCTCAGTGATCTTTCGTTTAGAAAATGTGTATATATCGTGAAGTATGATATATAAATATTGTAGACAATATCTTTGATGTCTAAAATTAGTGGGAATATATTCTTAGAACAAAATGAATGTTATTTTTTACAGTATTTTTAAATTGAGCACATACCAATGATCTATATACTTGTCCTTTCAAATTACCAGATTTGAAACTGGTGTTTTTTTGCCTAGAGGGGAATGGTGGAAGATACATTATATTTAGTATTAATTCAAATTTGTGAATATAATTTGTGGACCTCTGTTCTATTTTTGCAGGAAGATGAAAAATTCTTGACAGACCTATTTGCACAACTTACAGATGAAGCCACAGATGAAGAGAAAAGACAAGAATTGGTAGGAATGTTTTTATAAATGATTAAAAAGACAGTTGCTGCATTCTCTTTATTGATAAACATGGTTCTTTTTTTCTGTGTTTCAGGTAAATTTCCTTAAAGAGTTTTGTGCATTTTCTCAAACATTACAACCTCAAAACCGTGATGCTTTTTTCAAAACATTGTCAAATATGGGCATACTTCCAGCACTAGAAGTCATACTAGTAAGTTTCCAAACTAGGTGATCTTAATTTGTGTAACTTTTTTCAGCCTTCCATAATGCTAACAATTTAATTTTGGGGTGGAAATACAGTGTATATATGATTTATATTCTGTCCTATCATGATCTAACAGAAATAAAAGAGAGCAGAGCAAAAGAGAAAAAGGCAAAGAGAAAAAGCCGAAAAAAATCTGAAGTTTTTAATCAAGAAACACATTTTGTTTCAATCTTATACAAAACCATAGAAAGAAACTTGAACTGCAATATCATCAAAATGGAGAATATTTTAAGATTGAGGCAGTACATAGAAAATAAAATGATAAGTGAATTAAAACAATGAAAAATGAATTTTAGGTCATGCTTTTCCATCATATGTACACAGTCTGTTTTTGTTTATTTGCAGGGCATGGATGATGCCCAAGTACGCAGTGCGGCTACTGATATATTCTCATATTTAGTTGAATATAACCCATCTATGGTACGAGAATTTGTTATGCAAGAAGCTCAGCAGAATGATGATGTAAGTAGATGATCTTTGGTGATGCATCCATTAATAAGGAATATGAATAAAATTTGTTTCAGAAGTGTTAATTGAAAGAATTACTTTTCTATAACTTTACAAGTGGATAACAGTTATATAAATTTGTTGCTCTCAATTTTACATAACATATGGTAAAGCTGTTCAAACGTCTTGAGATGTGTTGGATTATAAATTCGATAATAACTATTTAACTTGAAACTTGATAGAAAAATATCTCATCTGAATAATCTGTCACTGGCTTCCTGCAAGTGAGTTTACAGTTTAGGATTTAGTTTGGGGGATATAAAATCATCTCTTCTCCCCCCTCCCCCCTTTATTTTCTTAGCACATATTTCTTGTTTTCTCCCAGGTCTACAATTGTGGTTTAGTGTTACTTATTTATCAGCACTAACCATTATTGTTACAAATGAGATTTCCTTATAGTGCTAGTATTTGCAAATCAAATCCTCTAAATTATTATTTGAGAATTCTACTTATTATTAACCCTAATGCTAATTATATTGTAATCTTATGAGCAAGAATTGGGCTATTAAATTTTTTCTCATCCATGCTACTAAAAAAATATAGTTAGTGGCATTTAACGAGTTGTTTAGTAAATAAAATGCAGTCTTTCTCCAGCATGACAAGTGGAGAATCCACCAATGGGTTCTGCTTGTCTTCTGCCTGTAGACTAAGTCAGCCAATTTTGCCACGCCTCTCCTCCTGGGACCTCCCTTTTCCCAGTCTCGACTTAGTCTACAACCCGGACAGACAGATTTATCTTGGCTCCAGACTCAAAAGACACTAAATCAGGTCGTATTCTTCCTTTATTGATTTCACTCAAGGGGGGGGAGACGAACGGAGGTTCGTTTGCAGTCAATAAAGGAAGAATATGACCTGATTTAGTGTCTTTTGAGTCTGGAGCCAAGATAAATCTGTCCGGGCTGTAGACTAAGTCGAGACTGGGAAAAGGGAGGTCCCAGGAGGAGAGGCGTGGCAAAATTGGCTGACTTAGTCTACGGGCAGAAGACAAGCAGAACCCATTGGTGGATTCTCCATCGTCATGCTGAGAAAAGGCGTTCAACTAAGACAACGCCCCATTCAGAACATATAATTTAGATTATTTCTATTAGTATTAGCTTTTTGGGGAACGGGGAATAGTTATCCCATGGAAATGTTGATATACTGAATACTGTATAATTGGATAAGCAATACTCATTTTGATTTGATACTGATCTGGTTTATGTCTTGCAGTTGTAATTTGACTTCTTGGTTGTAGCTTAATGTACTATGAGATCCCAGCCTATCTGTGCAAAAGTCCTTTTAGCCATGGTTCTGTCTGTTTGAGCAGTAGCTGAGCTCCAAGTGGACCCCCGTGGTATGAGTCAACTCATTTTGGGGAGTACAATCGTGTCCAGAGTTAAGGGCTGACTATATTCTAATTCAGTTGGCCTTGAAATCCACAGTCACTGTGTGTTGCTAGTTTCAGTCTGAATGTGCTTTTTGCCATCCCACACTTAATACTCTTTAAGGACTGGATCAAAAATCTCACTACACCTCCTGTCAGACCAGGAGTGGATAACAGTATCATCAGTATATTGATGATACCTGCTGACAGATGATCTCCTTTCATCCCCCACCATCATTGATAGGAAGCAGCCACTCAGGAAGAATAACTGCAACTCAGTGCCCCTAGTCCCAGCCCTTACATCATATCCAGGAAAATATCATGACCCTGGTATCGAAAGCCACCAAGAGATTCTATAGGACCAGAGAGCTGAACTCCCCCATCTCAGCCCCCCAAATGATCTTCCAACAGAATAGCCATTATGGCTTTTGTTCCAGGCCTAGGCTGAACCCTTCTGATAGAGGTCCAGATAATCAGTTTTATCCAGGATTCTCTGTAATTCTCTGTTGATCATCTTAAAAAGGGAAATTTGCAGACAAGACTATATAGTTGTCTAAAATAAGCGATTTAGTGAGGCTTCTTGAGGAGGTGAAAGATAAATGCTTCTTTTTCAAAAATGTGTTACTGTTGTCAACACTAAGTATTTCAGTCCCTTACTGCATATTTCCTATTGTAAATATATTACTTGTCAAATTCTGCAGTTAAAGTGTCTGTGGATCATTGGCCAATGACATTACATAAATATTTATGCTGCCTTCGTAGATCAAGCACTAAAAAAAAAATTGTAACTCTTATTGGGATCCTTATCTTCTCTCTTTTTGGATGTTCTCTTAAAATATTTTTATAATATAAAATATCTACATTGGGACACATTTACTTTTTTTTAAAAAGTGCATTATTAGTGGATGCTGATATAGAAACACAGTTCCATTTGATTCACAAGTTCAGACCTCTTAACTGGAATTACTTTTTGGTATATTTCACCTTTTAGTTATGCTTAATGTTTTTGGTGTTTTGTATTTTTAACTAGGACATCTTGCTCATTAACCTCATCATAGAACACATGATATGTGATACAGATCCAGAACTTGGAGGAGCAGTCCAGTTGATGGGCCTGTTGCGTACTTTAGTGGATCCAGAAAACATGCTAGCTACTGCAAATGTAAGCAAAAACATCAATTACTATGTTAATTTTTTTTGTTAAAGCATTAAAGAATTAGTATGCATTAAGTAGAAATTGATTTCTTTTTATTCTATAGAAAACAGAAAAGACAGAATTCTTGGGATTCTTTTATAAACATTGTATGCATGTTCTCACTGCACCATTACTGGCCAATACTACAGAGGAAAAGCCTAGCAAAGGTGAGCCTTCAGGAGTTTTTTCCACTGTTGTTTCTGAACCATAAAATTAACAAGTAATGATTGCATATAAGGAAGAATTCTATTGTAAGGATTATTATGTTACAGCAGTCTGTTACATTCCTATTAGGCATTGGGTTGTAGACCTGTCATTCCAAATGTGATGTGTTCCCATTTTAAAATAATTTGATGTTACAGCTTGCTTGAATGTATTTCATTCAAGCCCACATTTCTTGCTTATAAACATGTGAAGTTTATTTAGCTCTTTATTCATATTTTATAGTCTATTCCACGGGTGTCAAATTTGCCGTGTCACGTGACGTGTCGTGACGTATCATGATTATTATTTTTTTGCATTGCTGGAGCTGGGGTGGGCACGGCCTCCGTATGATGCAACTGGCCCACGGGCCGGCAGTTTGACACCCCTGCTCTATTCTAAAGATAACATCTGCCAGTAAAAAAACTAAAGAATTAGAGATGGGGGAGAGTCTGTGTTTCCCTCCCTTTTTTAATGGTGTTAAATTCCATAAAGTATTTGCTTTACATGTCTAACAATTGAGAGGAAAATTAAGTGGTCCAATATAGTGTGTGTTTATGTTTTATGTTTAGCTTTTGCAGGTAGTAAAATGTGAGCTATAAAAGGACATCTGTTGAAAATAATGGAAATGTATATCAGCAAATACATTATTTGTTTTGTTTTTAGATGACTTTCAGACTGCTCAGTTATTGGCCTTGATATTAGAGTTATTAACTTTCTGTGTAGAACATCATACATACCATATAAAGAACTACATAATTAACAAGGATATTCTTCGAAGAGTACTAGTTCTAATGGCCTCAAAGCATGCATTCTTGGCACTATGTAAGTACGATGTAGAGTAGGCCTCTGCCTTTATGTATTCGCAGTCTTTTTAGATATTTCGTTTGCCTGTTATTTTTAATGAAAACAGAAAACATGAAATAAAACATAATTTGTGTTGGTTTTTTAATAGCACTGTGCAGCACTTTGAAATTCATCTCTAAAAGATACTTCTAAGCACAAATGTAATATCTGTCTGCAAAACCTTAAAGCAGGCATATCTTTTCCCAGAGTTGTGTGGTTGCCCTGTACAGCTGCTTTTCTATCTTGGGAACAGTGTTTTAGCCAACTGTTTTCATATGGTCTTAAGCACGTTTTGGACACTGAATCCCAATGTTCTGCACAACTTTATTTTTCCTCCTAATTGCTAGCTATAAGTTCATTAATGCAGGGCTTTTCAACCTTTTCACCCATTGTACCACTTTTAGGATATGGCAATATCCGAGTACCACCAGTCGCCTAGCAAAGTGTCAAAAACTTGATGACCCCCCCAAAAAAGGGAAAAAAGTGATGAAGTACAGGTAGTCCTCAACTTACAACAGTTCGTTTAGTGACTGTTCGAAGTTACAATGGCACTGAAAAAAGTGCCCCCCCAAGCTACAGTCGAGCAAGACACCTGCCTGCCCACCCAGCGGCGCTCTCCTCCTGTCCGAGGTTTTCATTGTTGTGAGCATTTCTGTTGAGGATTGGCAGCGGGAGTGGGGTGGGGGTTGGTTTTTATTCCCCCCGTCTGCTGGGTGATTGCAGCAGGTTTTGGTTACTTCACATGACCCTGGGACACTGTGACCGTCATAAATATGAATCAGTGGCCAAGCATCTGAATGTAAATCACAAGACCCTGGAGATGCTGCAACATTCCAGCTGATTGGCGCTTCTTCTGGGCTCAGCAGAAGCGCCAGGATCAGCGCCGAGCTCCAGCTGGAGCCTGGGGCTGATCCTGGCGCTTCCACTGAGCCCTGACAGCCCTGCAGCTCCAGCCATTTCTCGCTCAGGCTTGTGCGGTGCTGCCACCGGTTCAGCTCATTCCCCTCACTCGCTACCACTTTTCTAGGATGGTCGTGTACCACCTGCCAGGTGCCAATGTACCACAGGTGGTACCCATACCACTGGTTGAAAAGCCTTTCATTAATGCAGAGGAGGAAAATATTTACAACTCAAATCATCATTAATGGACCTCAGAATATTCATAGAAAGTATTCTACTACAAAAATACCTAATATTTAAAAATTTGGATAGATTGAGAATTCCAGGAATATATAGGCAAATTATCAAAACGTACGTTCAAAAGAACAGATCTGTTACCTACATAGACATTCCTAAAGAAATTCTATGGAGCTATATGTAGATGACATATTTTTCATTTTTATATAACAGCTTAATACATATTATGAGTGGTAAAGGACAGGGAACCTGACATTGAGATGCTTTGGGATGTAATTTGCAGATTTCTATCTTTCACCATGGTGGTCAGACTGATGGGAAGTTGCTGCAAAGGGCCAAGGTTGCTTGTCCTTTCTGTGTACTTTTGTTGTTCCTCTTGTTAGTATATTTCCAGTGTCAACAACTTTGCTTTTTGCTATTGTGTTGCTACATTAAGTTTTAAAAAGACCTTCTATCTACAGATAGAATAGCTTCTTTAAAAAATTTAATTCCCTCTTCCCTTCATGTCGCCCTTCAAATCCACTTTGCAGAGTTGGGTGATGTTTCTATGTAGAGTTTGGCAGGGCATAGGGGCACAGATAGAAGAAAGATAGAGAACTTTCATTCCACAACTAGAAGTCCATTTACAGAATATTACATGTCTGTTATATACTACTTTTTAAGAGAAGAACCATCACAAACTTCTTGACCAAAGAGTGGGCAGTTTTTATTTATCAGTATTGTAGCTACAACTGGAAATTAGACCGGCATGGCCAGTTTTAAAGTATAAATTTACTAGAACACAAATACATGAGATTATGCACAAGCATTTTTGGAAAATAAAGCATGCATTGTTTGTAGTTCAGTCTTTTTTGGAATTTTGTCTTGTATCCAAACTTTTAAAAAGGTAAAGAAATCTCCAGTATGCTTGCTTTTTCTTTTTTAAAATTCAGAATAGAGGTTAGAATTCCAAGAAGCACTGGACTGCAAAAAACATGCCTTATTTTCTAAAAATGTTAAAATAGACCTTTATGTAAATAAAAATGCTAATCAATTCTTTAATTAAAATAATCTTAAAATATTAAAGTCAAATGAAGTATATCTGTGAATCTGTAGGAAGTTGTCTGCAGGTACAGTGTTACCTGTCTATGATATAATACTAGGACTCTTTGTACAAGATGAGTGAAAATAGCTGTTTTTGCTATTGAAAATATGTATTTTCTCCACTAGGTGCCCTACGTTTTAAAAGAAAGATAATTGGATTGAAGGATGAATTTTACAATCGCTATATAATGAAAAGTTTTTTGTTTGAACCAGTGGTCAAAGCATTTCTCAACAATGGATCCCGCTATAATCTAATGAATTCTGCTATTATAGAAATGTTTGAATTTATTAGGGTGGTGAGTATTTCTTTTTAGAGAGGAATGAATGTTGATACTTGGGAATTAAGTGAAGTTGTCTTGCATGTATTCACATGGAGGGAGAAGTTCACACAGTCAGAAATATTGGAGATTAGGAATAATGGATATTCCCATAATATTGATTGTGATAGAATTATGAGATTATACGGATTCTTTGAGGAAAACATTCACAATCACTTTTACCTAGAAATAAGACTTAGGGGGAAAAGGACCATTAATCATTGTTATGAAGGCAGTGGCTCAGAAATACACAAATATGTAAAAATGGAAATTCACAATGTATGTGAATCAAAAGATTGTGATCAATTTTTTGCCACAAAATAGGGTCCCATAACATTGTTCCAGGAACATAGAAGATAAAGAACTTAGTTTGATTGTACACAAGGAAATCACCATTCCTGATCTTCAGAGAAAAATAATGTTTTGGGCTAGGGATTAAAATGAATTTGGATCATTCACCTGGGTTGGGTGCTGCTCCTAACAAATTCTAGCTAATATTCTGTTCTTCCACACATACAAAAGTCTTAAGCAGAAGAAGATTGCACTTATTTTACATGATGGCCCTAATATTTTTTGAAATATTTTCTAAATTAAATCTCACATTGTTCTAAAAGAACTGAAGTCTTTGAAAAGTACATTTTCTTTTATTGCCTTATGGAATGACCATAAGGCCATGCTATAACTTTATAAAGTTCCTTAAACATTGAAGTATTTAAAAATGGGTCTCAAGGCTACCTGAAGCTCATAAAACAGTCACATTCCTCTGTATCCAGTAGGTCCAGTCTGGTGAATCTTCATGTAATTCCATGAATTTTAATTCTGCCAAATTAGAAATTACCCTGTAAGTGGAATGTAAATGGAATGAAGATAATTCTGATCTAGTACCTCTTCTTCTGATCATCACAGACATACTAGGAAATAACGATATTTAAGATAGAGGCTTATACTTTTTTAAAAAAAATACTTGTATTACCAGTTCTGGAAGACAAGTTTGATGTAGTAGTTAAAGGTTCCGGGTTAAAAGTGGGGAGATCTTTGTTCTAGTCCTTAAGTACAAAATTCAGTTGAGTGGTTTTGGACCAGTCATTTTCTCTCAGCCCTAGCTTGGAAAGTTGAAAACCATCCCCAAAGATATTGGCAAACCACTTATAAAAATATTGCAAAGAAAACTCTACTCTGTCTTTGTAGCCACCAGGAGTCAGAATTGATTCAGATGGCTGTAATAAAACCATTATCACTTGTGTTAAAAATGATACTTTGAAACCTAGATGTTTTAAGCAAAAATAAAATGATCAAGAAGCAATTTTATACAATTTGATGGACGTTCTTTAGTCTACTCTGAATTGGGCCCTTAGGCTCCTTTCTGCCTCCACAAATAGCACTGGTTTGTTTGATTTTATGTTGCCATGACATCCAAATGTAGCATGTTGGAGTCTTTCAAATAATTTGTTTTAAATTTCTTTTTTCAATTTATTCTGCTTGAAAGAATTACAAAATGCTAAGATTAAATGACAAAATACCAAGGTAGATAGACAGTTTACAACTATTCCACTTCAGTGCAATAGACCAGCTGTTTTTTGCAGTGATAATTAAGTTTATGTGGCTTATCAGTTATATGCATGAAAGACTACCTGACTTATGAACAGATCAAATATGCTCTATTATATGTTTTTGAGCAAAATTGTATAGTTTTTAACATTTTAAATGGATTAAAATAACTTTGTTTTCCAGGAAGACATAAAATCCTTAACAGCTCATGTAATTGAGAATTATTGGAAGGCACTAGAAGATGTAGATTATGTACAGACTTTCAAAGGTTTGAAATTACGTTATGAGCAACAAAGGGAAAGACAAGATAATCCCAAACTTGACAGGTTAGTGCACTCTGAAATTATTATTAGATCTTTGCCTATTGAAAAGTTACTGAAAAATAGAAGAAGATTCATAGTCCAGTTATTGAAATGTCTTTTCTATGGACAGTTGAATGATCATTTATTTTGAAACAGCAAGAATGAGAATGGTGTAATACATCCATTGAGACTACTGGGAGTTGGTTTATGTAATGCCTGAAACTGGAATTATCTTAATCTGATTACAATTAGGTTTACTGACTTAGGAGAATCTTTGTTTCTTGTTGTATAAGAAAATAATTCAGGGTTGATCTACAAAATTTTAAACATATATTACAAATCAACACATGCAAAACATAGCTGAAATGCTTTATTTTTGAATAACCATATGTTTGTGCAATGGCTAAGTAATTAGGTTAGAAATGATAATGTGTCACATTAACACATAAACACCTTCTCTTTTTTATTAATGATGCACATCTGGAGTTAGTTTTTGGGAAAATGTATTAAAGTAGTTAAGTATGTTCTAGAAATATTAGAGAATTAGGATTCAGCATGATACTCATTTTTAGCAGTATACATATATTATAACCTCATTACAAAATCATCCTTTTATAGCATGCGATCCATCTTAAGAAACCATAGATACAGAAGGGATGCAAGGACCTTGGAGGATGAGGAAGAAATGTGGTTTAACACTGATGAAGATGATATGGAAGATGGGGAGGTAGTAGTGCCACCCGCTGATAAAAGTAAAAATGATGAAGATATTATGGATCCTATAAGTAAATTTATGGAAAGAAAAAAATGTAAGTAACTTAGGGGAACATGTTATTAGTTGCCAGTTTGTCCCCATCACTAATCCCCCTGGCCAACATGAGGTAGAAAAGAACAGGCAAGCTGCAAGGAGAGAGATGCTTCAGTAGTTAGAAAAGCCTTTAGATCATTTGGAGGACCTGGGTCTCCTGTTATTTCACAAGATCAGACAAGGTAATTATGCTCCAGATCAGTGGTTTTCAAACTTGATAACTTGAGGATGTGTGGACTTTAATTCACAGAATTCCCCAACCAGCAACAATTAATTTCTCTTGTTCAGTCACTAAGCTGTGTCCGATTCTTCGTGACTTCATGAACCATAGCGTGCCAGGCCCCCTTGTCCTCCACTGTCTCTTGGAATTTGTCCAAATTTATGTTCATTGTGTCAATGATCTAACCATTTCATCCTCTGTTGTCCTCTTCTCAATGTTTTTTCCATTGAGTCCTCTCTTCTCATTTGGTGGTCAAAGTATTTGAGCTTCAGCTTCAGTATCAGTCCTTCCAAATAGTGAGGGTTGATTTCTTTTAGGATTGACTGATTTGATCTCCTTGCGGTCCAAGGGACTCTCGAGAATCTTCTCCAACACCACAATTCAAAAGCAACCAATTAACTACTAGGGTTATCTTTCTAGCATAGGTCTCTCCCTGCTTTTTTTCTGTTGCCCTTTATTGTGATTACAACTTCTATTATTAACAGAGGGATAGAATCAAGACACGTGAAGTGTTAATACTACATTACAATATCTTGCTAAGACCATACTTGAAATATTGCATCCAATTTTGGTCACCACAATATAAAAAAGATGTTGAGACTCTAGAAAGAGTGCAGAGAAGAGCAACAAAGATGATTAGGGGACTGGAGGCTACGAAGAATAGTTGCAGGAATTGGATATGTCTGGTTTAATGAAAAGAAGGACCAGGGAAGACAAGATAGCAGTGTTTCAATATCTCAGGGATTGCCACAAAGAAGAAGGGGTCAACCTATTCTGCAAAATCACCTGAAGGCAGGACAAGAAGCAAAGTATGGAAACTAATCAAGGAGAGAAGCAACCTAGAACTAAGGAGAAATTTCTTGATAGAACAGTTAATCGGTGGAATGACTTGCCTCCAGAAGTTATGGTGCTCCAACACTGGAGATTTTTAAGAGGATATTGGACAACCATTTGTCTGAAACAGTACAGGGTTTTCTGCTTCAGCAGGGGATTGGATTAGAAGACCTCCAAAATCCCTTCCAACTCTGCTATTCTGTTATACTATTGTTGAAAAGATTATTGTAATCTAATGCCAACTTGGGTTTGTTATTATTTTTAAATCTGGTTATGGCACACACTGTTCAATCATAAAAGCATATTAGCAAGAAAAACTTGTCTAAGTTAAATTTTCCTGACTGTGTTTTTGGATAATAAATAGATATTGATGTTATCAATATAATAGATAAATAGCTATTATCTATCTACAGACAGAATAATTTATTGTACTTATTCAGCAATTCTGTGAGTCAGTTTCAGCAATGAATACAATATAAATTTGTAATAAATGAAAGTAATGCAAAACATCAGTAGTCAGCAGCGGTGCATAAAGCAGGTAAAAAGGGAATAATTAAATCTTTACAGCAGAGCTAAAATTTAGTCAGTTAAAATTCAAAGATTTAAAAAGCTTTGGAAAAATTAAAAACCTGCATCTAGTACTGAAAAATAATATTTAAAAATTGCTAGGCAAGCCATTCCACTGAAGAATATTGTTACCTACTTGGCAAATGTGTATCTCTGTATTAGTTGTTACTTATACTTACAACTACATAATGTATGTAGTAATGCGTAGGTATAGGTAACAACTAATGTTCTTTCCATTTGGGAGAAAGGTGGTGATACAATGCCTTTGAAATAAGCAGAGATACTTCAGTAATTTGATCAGATTATATCTTTATCTAATTTGCTTAATAGTCCAACTTGTTACAGCAGTGTTTGTTTTACATTCTAGTTAAAGAAAGCGAAGAAAAGGAGGTCCTTCTGAAAACTAACATTTCTGGTCGCCAGAGTCCAAGTTTTAAACTTTCCTTCTCAAGTGGTACAAAGACTAACCTCACCAGCCAATCATCAGCAAGTAATTTGCCTGGGTCTCCTGGATCTCCAGGATCTCCTGGGTCACCAGGATCTCCTGGATCAGTTTCTAAAAGCACATCTCAGATGGCAGCTATAACTACAAAGGTACTTTTTTTCCTTTAATCTGATTGTGCCTCAGTATTATATTTTCCATGTTATTCAATCAATCCACATGGTTACTATTATGCAAATAAAATTTGCCATTTGTTCGAATAGCATTTGTGTTTTTCTCTCTCTAGTTTTATATCTGCTTAATAATAAAGGGACATTTAAAATAATTATCATTGTTATTTTGTGTCTAGTTCCCCTTTATTGCATTTTATTATCCACTGTTGGAAATGTAAAGAATAATTTACATTTGCATCTCCAGCCCCGGTCCCAGCCCAGTGACGGGCTGCAGCCCGTTCAGAACCAGGCTGCAGAAGTGGGCGAGCGCTTAAGCGCAAAGCTGCATTTGTGAAAGTGACCCATGTGCATGTTTTCTGTCACTTTTAGATAAATATACAACATCCATTTTGTCTCCCTCCTCTAAGTAGTTTTTCACCAGTACCATAGTCTCTTTAATTAGATTTATCAAACCAGCCCATCTTAAAATCCAAACAACCAAATCTTGTGTAGTTCTTATCTTTAGATATGGTTTTTGTAATCCAATATGTTTCCAATTATCAAAGCACCATTGAAAACAGTATTTTATAACAGTTCTTCTTTTCAGGGGTCTTATAATTATCAGCCAGCCAAGATTTCAGTCCAAAGTCTTTATCCATCTGAAAGCTTTCCAGTAACTTCCCCTTTAGAAGATTAACCAAAGGCCAAGGTTTTTCTTTTTCTGTAAATAGTTCTTAAACTTAAAAATGCAGCTCAGTGTGTTTATAATCCCAGAAGGTCAACAGTTTCTAAACATACATAATTTCACTCTGTAGTAGATAGCCCAATGCTTTGTTCCTAGCTGTTTTTGCTATCTCTTGCCAAATTCTGAGTCAGTGCAGCTATAGTTTTCTCTAATCTTCCACTAGGCGTCAGTAGCTGTTCATTTTCCCGCTTTTAAGGCAAAGAGGAGTAGTAATAGTAGTAGTAGTAGTAGTTGTTATTATTATATAATTTCATCAATACTTTTTCAGATGTGGAATTTTAACAGTTTTTTTAGTTTTTAAATTTATCCAGACTAGTATTTTTTATCTCATTTCAATATATTTTTGTTCCCCATAACAGTTTAATTCCCCGCTTCCGTCTATGGGAGGGTGGGGGTGTAGTCCCTTCCCTTCTCAAATTGGGAGGAGCTTTGCTTCTTGGGAATCGTTTCCAAGAAATCAGATACAAAATAGGAGAGAGAAGATCGAATTCCTCACCCAGTTTCAAGCACGTTGTTCACAGTTGTTCTGGTTAGTGCCTTTGGACTTCGGCTGCAAGTAGCTTGGGCTGGTCACTGAGATGTGGCCAGCCTTTCTCCTGTCGGGTTAGAGGGCTTCCCCAGAATTGAGTGGGACAACTGCCGTCGTCCCGCACTCATTGAGGTGCCCCTCTTTCTTCATTGCCTCTCTGAGGCGACTTTAGACCCATTTAGGGTCCCCTGGCAGGGCGAAACTAGCAATGGGGTGCGAAACTCTGCAATCCCTTGGCCACGCTCTAAGGCGCAAAACCGGAAGTCCTAAATTTCAGGCACCTTAATTCTTTACAAATCACCTAAACATTTCTTAATTGTAATAATGATAAAGCCATTTACATAGTTCATGAGTTAATATTACTTAGTGGTAGTTCAGTATATTCATAATTTGTAATTTAAATGCTGTAAACTTTAAATATTGTAAATATAATTTAAATATATTGTAATTAAATATTGTAAATATTGTGTTTTACAATATTTATCAAAGTACTATAGTTCTACATGAAACAGTTCATTTAATTGGTAAATTAAATTTGTGAATGAAACTCAGTTCAATTTACAAATGATTTTTCATTTTTTCAGAGAGGACTAGTTGGGCTTGTAGACTATCCTGATGATGATGAGGAAGAGGATGAAGAAAATCTACCTTTGACACAGAAAGCAAAGCTAGAGTCTTCATAATGACAAGTATGAAGACCAGTATGGATTATGATACAAACTAGGTTTCCGGGTTTCCAGAGTGGGAAGTCCGTGTTATAAAAATAAAAATTACTGTGTATAACACAGATCAACTTTAAAACAGATTTCTGCTAATCAGTGCCAATTTGGCGGAGCAGAAGAGGAAATACTACGCTTTATGGAAAAACATGCCTTTGACCTCTCCAGCTTGGACCACACGTTGCCCTTTTCTCAGGGAAGGAAATGGAAAATACAACGCCAACAGGGCAGGAGTTTTGATGGTGGAATTCTGGATTGGCTGTTCAGTTGTTACAATCAAATTATGATTTCTTGGACCATGTACGAGATTTTGAAGAAAAGGCTTTTCTGCCATAATTCTTCATTAGCTAAGAATGCCAGCAGTTTCTTTATATAAAGAGACCTGCCTTTAAAACCACACATTCTGAACATTTTAGTCAAACTACAACAGATTTTAAAAAAACTCTTTCGGGGAGGGCTCAACATGTTTCCTCTTTTTTTTAATCTGTTCCCTTTTGCCCTTTAAACTGCAGATTTTTGTTTGGAGATGAGGGATATATCTGTCCCTTAATTAAAAGATTGAATGGAATTCTAGATGTCACTTTTATGTCATAATTTTATTTTTATTTTGCCCCGAGTGTATGCTTGGTTGTTGAGTATATATTTGGGACCATTAAAATTTTTTGATGTAATATAATCTCACTGTTGTGCTGGTACCTGTTTCACATGTGTAATTCTGTTCTACATCACATTTCCTAATGTGTTTAGAATTTTATGGGAGATGGTATAGTTTTTATTGAAAAAGAGCAAATTAATCTTGCCACAATGTGCATACAAAAGCAATACTATTTTGTGACTAAATATTTTATATTAAACTTTACATCATCAACTGTCTTGAAACAATTCAGGGAAATAGGTTAATTTTTTTTACCAGAAAAATACTTTTAAGTAATCTATAAATATGAAATTAGTATTCCAAAGAGATTTTGAAATTTCTTAACTCGGAACATACTGGTATGTTTAAATTCAATTTAAAGTGGTTATCAAGAGTACAGTCATACTAACACATTTGAATTTTGAAAATAAAAAAATAAAATTAAGGACTACAGCATTAGTGGTATTTTTTAAAAGTGATTCCCTTTGGAATACCAGTTTTAATGTTGCACATTATTCTGGGCTTATGACATTTTTATGAGAATGCCATTAAACTCATTCTTGGGGGAAAAAGTAAGTTATTCAGGAGAGGAAATAGCTATCATTGCCTTAACTGCATACTAGACCAATAGCCCAATTACAAGAACTGTTATACAGATTTTATTTGAATGCATTTACTATCCTAGTCATCAAAATACATCATTTTTTCTGTAAAAGTGCAGGTTTCAAGTATGATTTATATCTAGTTTCCTCATTTCTTCACAGATTAGAAGATTTATTCGTTAGGTTAAAACTTCACATAAAATTCCAATGCCGAAGTATTGTGCTGTACAAAATTGTCTTGGTTTTTTTAGATGTATTAGCTGCTTAGTTTAGGTATATTTGCTGTTTATCCTAATAATACAGTTCTCCAACAATCTACCAGGGAATAGGGGGATATGCATATTATTGCTTTCAGTGATTTACTATCCATACCATGGTTAATTGTGAGTTACAGTTGGTAAGCACAGGACTGTGTTGCTGCTAAATTGATTTCTTCCTAATTTTATCTACTCAATAACAATCACCTTGTTGTCCTCATGAGATACTTACATACAGGTCAGGAAGCTATGCTATGGTCAAAACATGGTGAAACAGACTGGTTCCAGATTGGCAGAGGAAACATGACATGTCTTTTCCCTTATTTATTCAATTTACATGCTGAAGCTGGATTGGAAGATGAACATTGCATGCAATTTACATGGGCACGAATTAGACTAGCAATGCCTATGTTTCTCCATCAACGATGCTGTCCTTATCATCTCAACCTTAGCCCAACATTTAGGTAGTCTTATGTCAAATCTTTACATTCCAGAAAATAACTAGTTTCCTGCTTCTTCACAGAGCAAGGAATATAAACTTTATTTCATTACATCTCCCTCCAAGGAGACCACACCAGCTTTGAAAATCATTGAGAGGTTCTTAAGGTGTGCTTGTATTTTAGGACAGAATACAGATAATCCTCGCTTATCAAACATATTTGGGACTGGGAGTTCCATTGCTAAGTACCACAGTTGCCAAGCAAAAAAAAAAATCACATGATCGTACTGGATTTATGACATTGGCCAGAATATTCATAGTTTGGGTTGTAGGTTTTGGCAGGGGTCTGTTCTCCAAGCTTGCTGTTTAGCTCCTGGATGTTTCGTTACCAAACTAGGTAACATCTGCAGTGGAGTTTCTGGCTGAAGTGTCTTGTTCATTTATGGATGAACGATTGGTCTTGTCATAAGATCAACCTACTCCCCACTGAAGATGTTACCTAGTTTGGTAACAAAACATCCCAGGACCTAAACAGCAAGCTCGGAGAACAGACCCCTGACAAAATCTTCTTAGGTATATTGTGTAAAAATAACCCAGTGACCCCTATGGCTGAGCAAGGACTTGAACGTAGGTCTCTCCCATCCAAGTTGAATACTTTTTAAGTGCCACGCTGTCTCTCTTAGTTGATTTTAGTTAATTTTAATTGACTCCATTCTTTTAAAATGCTGCCTTGCATTTGAGGAGTCCCTCTTATGAAGCTGTTAATTTTTATGAAAGTCAGCATAAGTAGAGGGATTAAGCTACAATTTTGACGTCAAAATTGTAGCTTAATTCCTCTACTTATGCTTTCATAAAAAGTAACAGCTTCATAAGAGGGACTCCTCTCAAATGCAAGGCAGCATTTTAAAAGAATGAAATAGATTTGCTTTGATAGCTGAAGATGGAGAATTAAATGGTTATCTTAGTTATCTTTCCATTTAGTTTATTACTTCTTGAATATAAAGTATACAAATTTACAGTACACTCACATTTTCTGAAAACAAATATAGGATCATGTGGCATCAGGCTCTTCTGTATTTTTAACAAGGGTTACATTATTTCAGAAACTCCCCTTTTTTGGTTTCCCCCCAATTCCTGCTTCTAATTTAAATCTACAAAATGCTTAGGGAAAAGGTTGAAACCAGTTGCAAATAGTGCCTGCCCACTGATTACTTGGGTATATGTATAAATAACAAAATATATCAACTACAAAATAAACCAGCTTTATTTTTATAAATAGTAATCAGTTCATAATCTGGCCTGTGTTTCCAGCAATGTAGTTTTTGAAAAGCTTTTTTTGCAGATTTAAACATTTACTTTAAAAAAAGTAGCTACAGTTTCTTCATGCTTGTAAATCATCAAGAAACATTTTGTGTGTTTTCTTTTTAAATTCTGAGAATGGCAGGACTTGCCATCCCTTTAGTTTTGCCCAGTCATTTTTTAAAACCAAAATACTTGTACCTTCCCTCTAGTAAATACTTCTAGAAATGTATGAGCAGGGAAGCTTTTGTTGATGCTTGGAATGGTTGCTGAGAGACGGTCAAAGGCAGGCAACTACTTTGTGGACAATTGGCATTTGGTATATTTGAAATGTTTTCACACAGGAAATTCCACCCAATTCCAAAACTGTTTGAATATGCCCAGGGAAACAGCAATACTAAACCATCCACATCTAGAGTTAACAAATCTTCAGTGAAAAAATAATGTTACCAGTAAATGGCAGGAAAGCAATACAGAAAATAGTTCGCTTTTATCTAGTAACTAACTGGATTTTTTTTCAGCCCAAATCTGGTAGTCTTAAATTTTCAGACTTTCTGATTTGAAACGGCATTAATGAAGCTTGAATGAAATGTTCATTTTAAAAAAGGGAACAATTTAAAAAAAAATGATGGATACCACTGTTGTGTTGCACATAGATAGATAGATAACAAGTAAGGTCCATGGTGTATAGTAGAATTTATTTCGAGGTAACTATGCTGATTTGAGTGGTCCTTGGTGCTCTCTGAGCTTGGTTGTTTTCTTATAGACGTTTCATTACCCAAACTAGGTAACATCATCAATGCTAGTCTTTGCTAGCACTGATGGTGTTACCTAGTTTGGGTAATGAAAGGTCTACAAAAAACAACCAAGCTCAGAGAGCACCAAGGACCCCTCATTTCAACCTTGAGCTACAAATATTCTCCTTTATTGCTGTGTCGATTTTTCTTGAGGTTTAATAAAATGCACCTGGTAGTGTTTCTGGATGGTTGATCCCCAATCTAAGTTGAACTAGTGTTAGCAGTTTACTTGAATTCTCTTTATATGTACAATTGTGCATATATTAGGTTCTCAGTTGGTTCTGAACAATGACTTAATGGTACATCAAACTAAAAAGATACATTCTCAGATCTTCTAAGTAATTATTTATACTCAGCATAAATAAGTAATCATTTATACTCTGTATAAATAACTAATCATTTCTTTATATATGTATGATGTACAAGAGGACTAACAGCATGACAAATAACAAAAACAAAAGCCAGCAAAGGCAGTGATGAAAGTGCTACAGTTAAAAATGTGTTTGTTAAAAGCAAACATTTAATGTAACAAAGCAACCATTCAGAAAAGAGTAAGCAAATATTTGCTGAAACTGTTTATCCAGCTGCAAGAATGCCTATTTTCAATCTTGGGTGGGGGGTGGAGATGTTTGCATCTCTTTTGTATTATGTGTGTTTTGTTTTGAAATTCCCCATTTACTATGGTCACTAGGACTTTTTTTCTGACAACCACTAGATGGGGCAAATATACTACTGCAGGGTCTTTTTAGTTACTGTAAAATGCACAGTATATTGCCTTTTGTAAGCTAAATCACCATGTTTAAAGCTTCAGTTTCATGATGTTTTAGTTTTTAAGACAGCAGAATTATATTTGCAGCAAAGCTGGTAGGCACTATGTATGAAATCGAACCACTTGGTATATCGCCACAAAGCCCAAATGTTTATGCCATATAATTTTTCACTCTTCTTCAAATTTCTTGTAGCTTTCCTCCTGATGTTCTTTCTACCAGGAACACAAAGACGGAATAAAATTCATAGAAACTATTATTAATTTGTAGAAAAAAGTTGAAAATTATCCACACTTTTATTTGACAACTTTTTTCTGAGACATGGAGAAGTGTCAAATAACGTCATCAAAGAAACAGCATCACTTGTTTAAAGGAGAGGAGAAATGGAAGAAAGAAAAATTGATACAGTATGCTTGAGGGACACCTCTCATATCTACACTTAAACCTAATACCAGGGGTCTTCAAACTTGGCCCTTTTATGACTTGTGGACTTCAACTCCCAGAATTCCTCAGCCACGCTGAAGTCCAAAAGTCATAAAAGGGCCAAGTTTGAAGACCCCTGCCTAATACAGTGCCTGCCAAACTTGTCATTAAAGTTCCTGCCTCATTTAGGCAACTCAATGCTAAATAGCAATGTGGTAAAAGCAACAGCCCTCTTTCCTGCAAAACAATAATTTATAAAACTGCTGTGGGGCGAGTTCCTTCTTTTAAAAAATGTCAGTTCCACCAATCAAAACTAAGCATAAACTTGAAAATAAGGCAAACAATTAGCTGATAATACCTCATCACAGTCCACTTGTATATACAGGCATTTCCTGATTGTCAATTAGACTACAATTTCCAAAGCTGCAACTATTTCCGGATATGCATACACAATAG